GCGAAGCTAAGTTGGAGATTATTAACTCAACCAAAATCTCTCTTCTCTAGAGTTCTCTTGGGCAAGTATTGCCATAAGTCTTCCTGCATGGAATGCTCCACAACGTCAAACTCCTCTCACGGCTGGAAAGGACTCTTAGCAGGTCAAAAAGTTATCGAAAAAGGAATGGGATGGACCATTGGAAATGGCCAGCAGATTAATTTGTGGAGAGACCCCTGGATTTCCACTCTCCTCCCTACTCGTGTGATAGGACCACCTAAAAGAGAACATCAGAACATGTTGGTTGCAGATTTAATCAACCCGATTACAAAAACATATACACAACAAAATCAGGCTATTGTCTCCTTGCTGCATCTGAAACATATGAACCTGCAGAAGATTTCAAGTTAATATGGAATCTAAAAACTCCTCCAAAGGTGAATTAACCTTTCTGTGGGTGCGCAGCTTGCGTCACGTGGTTTAATGGACGCAGCTAATTGCAAAAGAGAGACATTTGACCACATGTTATTCAACTGCGATTTTGCAAAATCTGTTTGGGAAAGTACCCCAAATAGACGGAATACAAAACCAGGGGGATATCTCCATAGGTACGTTTCTCCAAACTGCAAAAGGGAAGCCAAATTTAAGCAAAGGAGAATTATACCCATGGATTTGTTGGAATGTTTGGTTAGCTCGAAACCAACTGGCTTTGCATAACAGAGCCTTCACGACTCGGGAAGTGATTACAAAGGCAGTAAGGGAGGCTATAATTTGGCAAGAAGCACAAGCTCAAATTCAACATACTTCAATACCTCAGAGTGAGGCGTCTTATCAAATTATCCCTAATCCTAGGAACTTCAAAGACAAGTAAAGGAGGAATTGGATGGCACTTTCGATCCCCTCAAAACGTGGACATGGAAAGCTTCTCTGAGGTTTTACATCAGATTCCGTTGGCACTAGCAGCGGAGGCAGAAGCCATCGCAACAGCGTTACAATCGGCCATTGATCTAATCCCACGGGAGATCAGTCTTCACTCGGATTCGCAGATTATGGTAAAGCTGCTTAACTCAACAGAGCAACACAATGAGCTCTGCTACATATTGCAAGACATCAGAGAACTCATAGCTCAATTCTTTTGCATCTCTATCTCTTACATTTCACCAACTATGTTGGCAGATTCGATCGCAAAACGAGCACTTAACTCGTTATCAGATTCTGTATTAAACGGTTAAATGGAATGGCAAAACTGTTGACCAAAAGAAAAAACAGTAGCAAACAAATCATACATCAAATTCTAGATACGTACTATCTGTGAATCCCTAGAAGAAATCGAACAAATATCAAAATCGTTACTACAAATAGTGGACCAGAACAATAATTAAAACCTTAAAACATTATAACCCTAACCCTAAGCGAATCTTGGAGTCTCTGGCACGGCTTCGTGATCATCATCTTCGTACAGAACTCGACGACACAACGGACACGAGTTCTGAATCTTAAGCCACTCAAAGATACAATCTTGATGAAACAGATGTAAACAATTAGGCATCCTTATGACTTTTTCACGACTAGATGTTTCGGACAAGTTCTCCATACAAATCGAACACTCTTTATCTTCTTTTCCCAAATCAATTAATTCCACTCTCTGTTCGTCCACCAATCTTTGTAACACATGATCAGAAACAGCTCTTGACGGAGAAGTAACGGACGGTGGAAACATAACCAGAAAACGTCTGGTCAGTTTGACGTGGAGCGACAATAGAAAAGGTCTTGGTCCGTGAAGTAAAGCACAAGCAAGAGCGATCAGTTGACCCAAAATTTGGCAAAGTCGAGTTTCCGAGATGTAAAAATTGTGAAGTAGTTGAGAGATGTAATTTGGAGAAAAGGAAGGTGGTTCAGATAGGATTAAAGAAACATTAGGAGTAGAATACGATCCTAAAAGTGTTAAGTCCCCGTTCTGATCGATAACCAGTTCCTCGATCTCATCATGTATATGGATCAAGATGGTGTTTAGAAACCCTTGATATCGTGGTAGAATTTCCGCTTCTGTATCCACTTTTATAATCACTGGATCCATGGCGTTTAAAACAAGAATGCAAACCAAAATATTACAAAACCCTAGCTTTGGATTTTAACAAAAGAGAAAGAGATCGATAATGATAATATGAAGAGTGAAATTGATTTCTTCAGGTGATTTAATATATAAAGTGAAT